GAAGTAATGTGTAATGATACCTAATGTGACTCATTATAGATATTCAGTATTAAAGCACCGAGAGATGTAGGGACCCGCCAGCAATGTCTGCATTGGGGTTCCTCTTACTTGGCCTACCTCTTTTACTCTTAAAACATTACCCATAACATGAATGCCTTCAATTTCATTTTTAATGCACAGTACAGGTTATTGACCAGCAAGGGAAATACATTGCTCAAAAAAAATTAAAGAAATACTTTGAAAACACATCAGATCTCATTGGGGAAAAAATCTCCTGCTGGATATCTATACTGATATGGATGGATAATGTGTTAGGAACGTAAGGATGCCCCATTGTTTGATGGAAAATTAAAATTATCAACCTACAGAGGACTGAATTCAAAGACACCCTGAAAATCAAAGTGAAAAAATGATGCAGCAGGCTAGTCCATTTTGCTAAAATTTAATTTCATCAACCCAAAATGGTCCTCAGTAGTTTGTATGGCCCCCACGTGCTCGTCGGGGCATTCTCCTAATGAGATGATGGATGGTGGTGTCCTGGGGTATTTCCTCCCAGATCTGGACCAGGGCATCACTGAGCTCCTGGACAGTCTGAGGTGCAACCTGGAGGCATCGGATGGACCGAAACATGACATCCCAGAGGTGTTCTATTGGATTTAGGTCAGGCGAACGTGAGGGTCATTCAATGGTATCAATTCCTTCATCCTTAAGGAACTGCCTGCATACTCTCGCCCAGGGGCAGATTGACAACTCATGGGGCCCCAGTGTCCTTGCCCAAACTCAAAAAAGCCTATGAAAAAGGTACCAGGGGCATCTCATGGGGCCCCCTACTGACCCTGGGCCCTTGGGCAGTGCCGAGTTTCCAAATGGTCAGTCCGCCCCTGTTCTCGCCACATGAGGCCGGGCATTGTCAGGCACCAGGATGAACCCAGGACCCACGGCACCAGTGTAGGGCCTGACAATGGGTCCACAGATTTCATCCCGATACATAATGGCAGTAAGGGTGCCATTGTCTGTGCGTCCCTCCATGGATATGCCTCCCCAGACTATCACTGACCCACCACCAAAACGGTCATGCTGAAGGATGTTACAGGCAGCATAACGTTCTCCACAGCTTTTTTCAGACCCTTTCACATCTGTCACATATGCTCAGGGTGAACCTGCTCTCATCTGTGAAAAGCACAGGGCGCCAGTGGCGGACCTAATTCTGGTGTTCAATGGCAAATGCCAATTGAGCTCTATGGTGCACAGAGCCTGCCAGAGGACGTCGTGCTCTCAGGTCACCCTCATGAAATCTGTTTCCGATTGTTTGGTCAGAGATATTCACACCAGTGGCCTGCTGGAGGTCATTTTGTAGGGTTCTGGCGGTACTCATCCTGTTCCTCCTTGCACAAAGGAGCAGATACCGGTCCTGCTGATGGGTTAAGGGCCTTCTACGGCCCTGTCCAGATCTCCTAGAGTAACTGCCTGTCTCCTGGAATCTTCTCCATGCTCTTGTGCTGGGAGACACAGCAAACGTTCTAGCAAAGGCACGTATTGATGTGCCATCCTGGAGGAGTTGGACTGCCTGTGCAACCTCTGTAGGGTCCAAGTATCACCTCATGCTACCAGTAGTGACACTGACCCTAGCCAAATGCAAAACTAGTGAAAAACAGTCAGAAAAGATGAGTAGGGAAAAAAATGTCACTGGCCTTCACCTGTAAAACCATTCCTGTTTTGGGAGTCATCTCATTGTTGCCCATCTAGTGCACCTGTTGTTAATTTCATTAATACCAAAGCAGCTGAAACTGATTACCAACCCCCTCTGCTACTTAACTGACCAGATCAATATCCCAGGAGTTTAATTGACTTGACGCTGTACTCTGATTAAAAAGTGTTCCTTACATTTTTTGGAGCAGTGTATATATTTTTGCTTTATCCCTGGCCATGCGGGATCTCCTGCATGGTAGGGGGTTGGGGAAAGACCTGGCAACCTACCCAGTAAAAATAATTGCTAAGAGAATTCATGGAAAAAGTCGCTTACGAGTGACGGTTCATGCAATCGCCAAGGGTCGGATACGACTGAATGGATGGATAGATAGATAGATAGATAGATAGATAGATAGATAGATAGATATACTGTATTTTGCTGCCAGTGCTGGTTTATAATTTTTTGTACATTTTAGGCTTGAATATTACTGAAAACTTCCAAAACATGATATATTTTCTGAAATGCCCTGCAAAATACAATGGTTGCAGTTGCAAAAAAAAAAAAAATTATATGTCATCTTTTCAGTAAAAAGAATAATAATTTTACTGCACACAAAACACAATACCCATTTTTTGTGACCTGAAAATAAACTTGGAGTGTCAGATGTTCATAATGATGTTTAGATTCACATATTTTTGTACTTGTCACATATTTTTTTATATCACATATATACATTTTATTTCAATTAAACTTTTTTTTTTCTTTTTCATTAATATCATATTATTATTTTCCATTTTTTAAGTTCATCTTCAATTCTTATTCTTTATTTATTTTTTGTTCTGCGCTTTTTTTTTTTCTTTCTTTCTATTTATCCTCATTTTCACTCTTGTTCCATATTTTTCTGTATTTATTTATTTTTTCTTTTTTTTTTTTTCTTCTTTCATTTTTTATTTGGTATTTTTATTTAAATTTTCATTTCCTGCGTCTTCTACTTCCTTCACGACACATTTACTACCTCTTTATCCTTCCCATTCAAATTTTCCACAAGCCTTCCATAGCGGCTAATGATACATAAGAACCATTGTCCTTCAAGCTCCCACTATGACTAAGCCCCCATGGACGGGGTGAAATGCATCATAGGGCGTGGTTTGCAGAGGAACAACGGCTCAGGCCGCTTCCTACCCTCATCTCACATGGGCTGGTCAGGAAAGCGGAATCCTTTCCACCTACATGCCTAACCCATTTTTTTTTGGGCTGTGTCATATTAATAGATACCAAACATATTATGGCACATTACAGCAAATGAGATGATTGAAGTGTAGTATAAGAAGTTGACAGTCGGCTTAGAAAGTGTAAAAAAAAAGTCCCAGCTGCCATAGCAGCCTGGAGTTTGCGTACATGCTGGCACTTCTGCCGTTGTATCACAGGATTTGGCAGTGGAAAGGTTAAAACCAAGTCATACCCTCTACTCCTAACCAATCTCATGTTATTTAAAATTCTAACGCCCATTAATCTGGGGTCCTTTGATCTTCCAGGATGACTGTAATACATAAACCACTCTACTTGAGGCAAGCTACTCTGCTTGAAGTCCCCACCCATGTTCCAGCACTCGAGATCAGAGGACTGGAATGGTGGTGGGACCGTGGATGAGAGTATGTAGAAACATAGATGAGTGATTACAGAAGAAAGACCAAGTGGTCCATCGGGTCTCTCCCAGACTTGGTGGTAAATATGACTAGATGCTAGGACTCTTATTTAACCTCCTCGGCAGTATGATTCTTTCCGTTTTTTTGTGCTGAAAGCGGTACCATTTTTTTGCATGGAAATATGTAGTTTTTTATTGTAGGCTGTAATTTTTAGGAATAACTCACTGAAATCTGTCCGAACAAGAGTCTAGTAAACATTCCGGATATGATAAAATTTGAAACACGAAATCATAAATTATAATTTAATAAATAATCATAAAAAATAATAATATAATAATAATAAATTTAATTCAATAATATAATCAAACCAAAAACACTGAAATTTGAAATACAGAGGCAAATTCGTACATCGCTGAGCAAAGTCGCAAAATTGTTTTCAGTGTCTGATGACGAATTTCCCCCACGAATCATTATCACTGAATTCTGCAAGTGGTTCTGATTTACTATCGCTGTTCTAAAAGCGCTTTTGACGTAAAGGGACGCTTTTTGGACGCCATGGACTTTTCTAAGTTTCCAGGCAGAAAGAACATTCAAAATGCAGGCAGGGCACAGGACAAAGCAGTAGGGACAAAATGTATGTGAAATGCATTGAAATAGCAATGACAGCAAAAATTACATTTTTAAAAAAATTCAAATTTCCCGCCGGTACCGGCGCCCGTACGTCCCGACGTCACAGGGACCGGAACACAGAAGCCGGATGCCGGCATCGGCCGGAGGAGATGGCCGGGGACGCTGGAGGGGACAGATCGCAGGAGCGAAGGACAAGGTGAGTGCTGCAGGGACCCTCAGAGAACGCCGCATGGTAAGCCCGAGTGTAGCTCAGGGTTACCGCTCTTGGTATAGAAATTTTGCCCCGAGCTACACTCGGGAACACCGCTAAGGAGGTTAAAAAAGTGAGGTTGCTTGAATGGGTGGGGTGGGTCAGACATGAACATATACTGATAAGACTCCACCACTCTGATCTTCACATGGGAAACGCAATACTGGGTTTTTTTTTGTGGACATTTTTCATCCTTAAGCCCTGGTTCACACTGATGTGGTGTGGAATTCGCCGCATTCTGCACCGCATCAGAATCGCACCCCATGCATGCAAACTGCTGCGGGTGTGTATGTTAACAACACCCCAAAAACGGTCCGCAATACGCAGTGCGATGTGCAGAATTGGATCAGATAGGTGTGAATACCCATGCAATTCGATTCTAGTGCGGACACAAAAAAGGGTCCTGCACGTTTTTGGTGCGGGTGCAGTGCGAATAGAGCCATACAAAATGTCTGGCTCCAATCGCACCGCACACAAATCGCATGTGATTTGCACAGGAATGTGGTGCGGCTCCTGTGCAAATCACATGCAATATACCACACATATGTGAACCCAGCCTGAAGGCCAACTTAACATTTGGTTTATATCAGCTAAATGATTACAGGTGAATCAAAACAAAAGTTGTTCAATGTCTTACATTTCATTTTCTTGCTAAAGCAGCCGCATCCTGAGTAGAAGAGCCTGTCCCCTGCCAGCATGCTGTAGCGATAAACCTATGCTTTATGTGTGGATGCAGTGCTCTCTGCAGCAGTCCAACATGCCCCATTCTGAGTCAGAACTACAGCTCTCCAATCAGTTCTGTGCTGATTGGAGAATGCTAGCTCTGGCAGGTGGTGTATCAGGCCTCTGCAGAGAGACTACTGTTTCCTCACATTTTTTTTGCATTAAAGTGTTACTAAACCCCGGACCCAGCATTCACTATATCTGATCTCCTGCAGTACAAACAACATGGAAATGCAATTATTTTTGTAAATATAAACTGCTAAATACCTTTTCTCATCAGCAGTATACAGCAGTCATGTGACTTCTATCAGTGTTCAGCTGAGCACTGGTTAAAGCTTGCAGGAGGAGTTTACATTCTCACTGTCCTATGAGGCTGCAGGACCCCTAACCCTCGATCTGAACAGTGCTGACTGGCCCTGTGCTGATCACATGCACCCAACTGAGCTTGTGCATCTTGCCCCCAAGGCTCTGTTCTATCAGGAGATGAAATGGGGACAGTAGAAGAAGGGGAGGATCAGAGAAGACAGGATCAAACAGATTTATACACAATGAAGAGGATTAACCCCTTAGGTTTCACAGTGAGTATAACAAGCATGCTTTACTGTATATAGAGATTGATTTTACTGTTGTGGGTTTAGTAACACTTTAAGGGTCCAGTCACGCTAGATGCATCAGCACATTATTTTCAACGCATGCCAATGCAAGGACCTGTAAAATAATAAGGTATGTAAATACAGGTGGAGGCCACTGACATTTTTTTCCCCTACTCATGTTTTCTGACTGTTCACTAGTTTTGCATTTGGCTAGGTACTACTACTGATAGCATGAGGCGATACCTGGACCCTACAGAGGTTGCACAGGCAGTCCCAACTCCTCCAAGATGGCAAATCAATACGTGCCATTGCCAGAAGGTTTGCTGTGTCTCTAGCACAGTCTCAAGAGCATGGAGGAGATTCCAGGAGACAGGCGGTTACTCTAGGAGAGCTGGACAGGGCTGTAGAAGGTCCTTAACCCATCAGCAGGACCGGTATCTGCTCCTTTGTGCAAGGAGGAACAGGATGAGCACTGCCAGAGCGCTACAAAATGACCTCCTGCAGGCCACTGATGTGAATGTCTCTGACCAAACAATCAGAAACAGACTTCATGAGGGTGGCCTGAGGGTCCAACATCCTCTAGCAGGCCCTGTGCTCACTGCTCGGCACCATAGAACTCAATTGGCATTTGCCATTGAACACCAGAATTAACAGGTCCACCACAGATGAGAGCAGGTTCACCCTGAGCACATGTGACAGACGTGAAAGGGTCTGGAGAAGCCGTGGAGAATGCTATGGTGCCTGTAACATCGTTCAGCATGACCCTTTTGGTGGTGGGTCAGTGATGGTCTGGGGAGGCATATCCATGGAGGGACGCACAGACCTCTACAGGCTAGACAATGGCTCCCTGACTGCCATTAGGTATCGGGATGAAATCCTTGCACCCATTGTCAGACCCTACGCTGGTGCAGTGGGTCCTGGGATCCTCCTGGTGCACAACAATGCCCAACCTCATGTGGCGAGAGTATGCAGGCAGTTCCTGGAGGATGAAGGAATTGATACCATTGAATGGCCCCCACAATCGCCTGACCTAAATCCAATAGAACACCTCTGGGATATCATGTTTCAGTCCATCTGACGCCACCAGGTTGCACCTCAGACTGTCCAGGAGCTCAGTGATGCCCTGGTCCAGATCTGGGAGGAAATCCCCCAGGACACCATCCATCGTCTCATTAGGAGCGTTCCCCGACGTTGTCAGGCATTCATACAAGCACATGGGGGCCATAGAAAGTACTGAGGACCATTTTGAGTTGCTGCAATGAAATTTCAGCAAAATGGACTCGCCTGCTGCATCATTTTTTTCACTTTGATTTTCGGGGTGTCTTTGAATTCAGTCCTCTGTAGGTTGAGTATTTTCATTTCCATCAAACAATGGGGCATCTTTACATTCCTAACAACATTATACAGTCCATATCAGTATAGATATCCAGCAGGAGATTTTTCCCCATTGAGATCTGATGTATCTTCAAAATGTTCATTTCATTTTTTTCAGCAGTGTATATGAAAAAATGTAATTTCATTTAAAAAAAATGACTGAAAAGGCATAATGGTTTTGCTTTCAATCCTTACAAGTAGTTCTGGGTTACAGAACATTGCTCATTATCAGTGCTTCACCTTTCCCAGTAATGCTGCTTCTCTCTTTTTTACTTTTCTTGCAGCAGACCCAGTTTATCCTCTTGTCCTTCTAATGTACATGAAAGCGATAGAAATGCCTGTATTCACTGAAGATTTGGAGAGTCAGCTGGGTGTTATGTCTTGATGAATCAGAATTTAGGGCACGTGGTAATCTCCGCACTCTTTCCCAGGGTCTGTCCTTTCATCTCTGATCAAACAGTATAAATCCTCTATGTCTCTCCTGTGTATCTGCTGTCTGCATTCTCCCACCACCCTTCCACCCGCTGCCTTCCATTTCCAGCGCTGAGCTCACAAGCAAATCCCACAGAAACCTCGAAATGCAAACACAGCTCCTGAATATCCTGTCATTGGACCAAAACACCTTGATTTCCCCCCTGAGGTCCCCTATATTGATCTGTGTATTATTTAAATAGAAACCACAGCCAGAATTTGTGTTCTGGAGAAGGGTTATAACCTCCATCAGGTTTTTGCTTTTTTGTGTCCACAATGGGAACCTTTCAACTTTTTTCTTGTATGGTCACCAGTACAGGAAGTGAGAGACGTTAATCTGAAAGGGTTAAAAAAGCAAAAGGAGTTTAAAAATCTAACAGAACTGTCTATATCACTCCTGTTGTGCTTTTTTGTAATTTTTTTTGTTATGGTTATGACTAAAATTTCTAAACATATTTCTCAATTTTTTTTTCGTCAAGTAAATACTGTAAATATACAGGTAGCCAACAGATGGCGGTCATAGCTAGTTTACATATACACTATATTGCCAACAGTATTGGGCCAGCCCTCCAAACCATACGACTCAGATGTTCCAATCACCTCCATGGCCACAGGTGTATAAAATCAAGCCCCTAGGCATGCAGACTGCTTCTACAAACATTTGTGAAAGAATGGGTCCCTCTCAGGAGCTCAGTGACTCCAAGCGTGGTACCGTGATAGGTTGCCACCTGTGCAACAAGTCCATCCGTGAAATTAACTGGCTACTAAATATTCCACTGTCAATTGTTAGTGGTATTATAACAAAGTGGAAGCAACTAGGAACAACAGCAACTCAGCCACCAAGTGGTAGGCCACGTAAAATGACAGAGCGGGGTCAGCGCATGCTGAACAGCAAAGTGCGCAGAAGTCGCCAACTGTCTGCATAGTCAATAGCTAAAGACCTCCAAACTTCGTGTGGCCTTCAGATTAGCACAACAGTGTGTAGAGAGCTTCATAGAATGGGTTTCCATGGCCGAGCAGCTGCATCCAAGCCTTACATCACCATGTGCAATGCAAAGCATCGGATGCAGTGGTGCAAAGCATGCCGCCACTGGACTCTAGAGCAGTGGAGACATGTTCTCTGGAGTGACCAATCACACTTGTCTGTCTGGCAATCCAATGGATGTGTCTGTGTTTGGCAGTTGCCAGGAGAACGGTACTTGCCTGACTGCATTGTGCAAAGTGTAAAGTTTGGTGGAGGGGGGAGCATGGTGTGGGGTTGTTTTTCAGGGGTTGGGTTTGGCTCCTTAGTTCGTCAGCATACCAAGACATTTTGGATAATTTCATGCTCCTAACTTGGTGGGAACAGTTTGGGGATGGCCCCTTCCTGTTCCATCATGACTGCACACCAGTGCACAAAGCAAGGTCCATAAAGACATGAATGAGCCAGCTTGGGGTGGAGGAACTTGATTGGCCTACTCTTAACCTGATAGAACACCTTTGGGATGGATTAGAGCAGAGACTGCGAGCCAGGCCTTCTCTTCCAACATCAGTGCCTGACCTCACAAATGCGCTTCTGGAGGAATGGTCAAGCATTCCCAATAAAATTGTTCTTGCATAGATGCTGGAGGCAGAAAACCAGCCCAAACCCTGTTCTCTAAAATTGACCATAGTGGCTCTATGATATTGAGGTCCGGCGACTACAGTGCTCAGGGAAGGTGCGAGACTTCATCTGCATGCTCATCATAGCACAATTTGACAACACCAGTTGTGTTAATGGGAGCATTATTGTCTTGATAAATGGCGCTGTCTTTGGGAAACAATGTCTGCATCATGGGGTGCACATGGTTGGCCAAAATCTGTACACAGTTTCTGGCAGTGACTCTACCTTTAAAGGTGATGATGGGGCCTGCAGAATACCAAGATATGGTTGTCCAAGCCATGATTGTGCCGCCACCATGCTTTACCGTTGGCACAAAACAGTTCTGATCTTAAGCTTGGCATGGTGTTCCCCACGCGTAAACATGTCCGGTGGTGGGGAACAGTGTGACTCTCGATTCATCAGTCCTGAGCTCAACCCGATCGAACACCTTCAGGATGAATTAGAACAGAAACTGCGAGCCAGACCTCCTCCCCCGACATCAGTGCCTGACCTCACAAATGTGCTTCTGGAAGAATGGTCAAACCTTCACAGAGACACCCTCCTAAACTTTGTGGACGGCCTTCCCAGAAGAGTTGAAGCTGTTATAACTGCAAAAGGTGGGCCAACTCAATATTGAACCCTACGGACTAAGACTGGGATGTCATTAAAGTTCGTGTGAATAAAGGCAGGCGGCCCAATACTATTGACAATACAGTGTACTTTCCTGTTTCTCATTACTGCTTGTTGTAAAAATCCTGTGACATACAGACCTCAATAACTCAAGTGGAAATGTATATACACAAGTGAACAAGTCAGAGAAGTGATGCCTCCCTCTCCATCCATACAGGTCTGAGTGAAGTTTTAACAGAGAGAGTTTGCCTGAAAGGGAAATACTTGTGCTGTGTTGTCTCTATGCATAAATCATAGGGGTTGATTTATAAAGAATTAGCATAACCCTAAAAGAAAGTGCATGTACATTCACTTTGCGTGAAAGGAACTTTTAAAAAACAGCCACTTACCTGTCCCTCGGTCCAGCGGTGTGATCCCCGCACCCCGTTTCACACCGGCCGTCCTGTATTCTAGGAGGCCGGCATCTTCAGTGTGGGCACCTGGCTGTGACAGCTTGCGGCTTCATAGCCGGGTACCCACTGCGCAAGTGTGCGAGTAGTGCTGCGCTTCATGAATGGTCCTGTAGTCTTCTGGGACCTGTCACGTTTCCCAAAAGACTACAGGGAGGGAGGACACCTTCCGCTTCCGATCGCCTAGGCCGGGTGTCGGCAACCCGCGGCTCCAGAGCCGCATGCGGCTCTTTTTCACCTTGGCTGCGGCTCCGTAGCACACTGCCCACCAGGTGACAGGCAATAGGGCAGCAATGGGCAAACTACGGCCCGGCGGACCTTTTAATCCGGCCCACGGAGCTAGGCTCCCGCTAGGCTCCTCTCACAGTCCGCCCTGAAGACCGGTGTAGCATGAAAATCTGTCTCCTATGAGGATCTGTCCCCCTCACGTATCTGCGCATGTGCCGGAGATCGCCGATCGGCTGCTAATGCCTGAAACTGGCACATGCGCAGATATGTCGAGGGGGACAGATCCTCATAGGAGACAGATTTTCATGCTACACCGGAACGGCGCGGGAACACGGCGAGAGGAACGCGTGGAGCAAAGGTAAGGGAATTGACACAGGGGGGACTTGGGGACTTAATATGGGGGATGAATTAATATGGGGGATGAATTACTATAGGGGGGATGAATTACTATATGGGGGATGAATTACTATAGGGGGGATGAATTACTATATGGGGGATGAATTACTATGGGGGATTAATTACTATATGGGGGATGAATTACTATGGGGGATGAATTACTATATGGGGGATGAATTACTATGGGGGATGAATTACTATATGGGGGATGAATTACTATATGGGGGATGAATTACTATGGGGGATGAATTACTATATGGGGGATGAATTACTATATGGGGGATGTATTTTCAGTTTTAAAAATGTGGCTCTCAAAATACATTTCAATCGTGGTTTTGGCGAGATTTGGCTCAGTTGAAAAAAAATGGTTGCCCACCAATTGATTGTGATTATGACGATACACTGTGGCCCTGATTAACCCTTTGCTTACTGGGCCCTTAAACCCCCTTCATGACCAGAGCGCTTTTTGCAATATATGCAGTGTCGGATTTGTTTTAAATGTTGCAATGGTTTTGCGGCTCCCAGTCTCTTTTTTTTCCCTTCGGAAACGGGTCCAAGTGGCTCTTTATGTCTTAAAGGTTGCAGACCCCTGGCCTAGGCGATCGGACCGGAAGTGGGAGTGGGGGTACCTGTTAAATTTTGGTACCCGCCCCCCAAAGGTACCAATCCTTAATGGGGAGCAGGGGAGCAGTCCTTAAAGTGGAACTTCCCCTTTTGGGTGGAGCTCCGCTTTAAGGATTGGCATGTTTGGGGAGTGGGGGGGATTGGGTACCTGAAATTGACAGGTACCCGCTCCCAGGTACCCGGCTAGGCGATCAGAAGTGGAAGTTGTCTCCCCTCCCCCCTCTCCCTGTAGTCTTCTGGCACACATGACAGGTCCCAGAAGACTATGGGACCATTCACAAAGCGCAGCGCTACTCGCACATGTGCAGGGAGCATTAAGCTGTGAAGCCGCAAGCTGTCATAGGCCGGGTGCCCACACTGAAGATGACGGTGCCAGGAACACAGGCTGCGGGGGGGGGGGGGGGGGGCACTGAGGGACAGGTATGTGTCCATTTTATAAGAGTCAGCAGCTACAGTTTTGTACTTGCTGACTTTTAGTTTTTTTTTATTTTCACTGGATCTCTGCTTTAAGATTAAAAATGTATACATTTCTATTGTAGTCTGGTAGCTGTATGTGGACAATACCTGTAATGACAGCACTGAGTTTAATTCCTATTTTTATTTTGCGTGCCTTTTTTGTATTTTCACCACCTTTACATGCAGATCAAGCTGTCCAGCAAAAGAGGCAATTACAAGAAATGGGATGGAGGGGCAGTCCCAATGGTCCGCTTATATGGTTTAACTTTTTATCCAAAAGGAAAACTGTTGCTTAAGTTAGCTGGAGTAGACTATAAAGTGGTAGTGAAGTCTTGGTATAAAAAACTCGCTAATAGGCAGGGTTTTTATAACAAAGAGACCATAGAGATCTCCTCTCATAAATGACTCCCTGTCTATCAGCAAGAAATGTGACCTAAGCCGCACGTGCGCAGCTCAGATCACATTTGCGGCCCACTTTCAGTGCTGTGGCTTTGTGACTTTCATGCATATGTAGTTCATACTAGCACATTATGACTATTGCTAGACCCAGGACCCTGCATTCACTATATCTGGTCTCCCCGGACCCCGCATTCACTATATGCATGGGACCCTGCTTCCCCGGACCCTGCATTCACTATATCTGGTCTCCCTGGACAGTACACTAGAACATGGAAATGCAATCACTATTTGGTCTCCCCGGTACCCTAAACTCTATCTGGTCTCCCCAACACTGCATTCAAATACCTTTTATATCTGGTCTCCCCGTCTTCTGAGGACTGCATTCACTATATCAGTGTGCCAATATTCACTCTCCCCGACCCTGCATTCACTATATCTGGTTTAAGCTTGTAGGGAGCATTTATATCTCTCCCCGGACCCTGCTCACTATATCTGCTCCCCGGACCCTGGAGGATGGAAATGCAATTATTTTAGTAAATATAAACTGCTAAATACCTTTTCTCAGTCTTCTGACCCTAGGAGGATGCAGGACCCCTGACCCTCTGTCTGGACAGTGCTGATTGGCCCTGTGCTAATCACATGCACCCTCCCAAGAAAAAGAAAAAAACTCTCTAGCAATACACACCAAACTGAGCATGTGCAGCTTGCCCCCAAGGCTCTGTTCTATCAGGAGATGAAATGGGGACAGTAGAAGAAGGGGAGGATCAGAGAAGACGGGATCAAATAGCCTTTATACACAATGAAGAGGATTAACCCCTTAGGTTCCAGAGTGAGTATAACAAGCATGCTTTACTGTATATAGAGTTTGATTTTACTGTTGTGGGTTTAGTAACACTAAAGTAAGTAAGGGTCCAGTCACACTAGATGCATCAGCACATTATTTTCAATGCAAGGACCTGTAAAACAATAAGGTATGTAAATGGAAGCAGTTCATACTGGTGCATTGCGCTGACAAGCACTGGTTTGTGGCAAGCACTTGGGGGAAACCGTACTTTTTTCAGAGCAGTGCATGTAATGTGTATGAATGCACAGCAATACACACCAAACTGAGCATGTGCAGAGTGACTCCACACAATATGTCTTATCAGGAGATAAAAGGGGGCACTGGGGGAAGGGGAGGATCAGAGAAGACAGGATGAAACAGTGTTTTTACACAATGCAGAGGATTAACCCCTTAGGTTCCACAGTGGGTATAACAAGCATGCTTTACTGCATATACAGACTGATTGTACTGTTGTAGGGTTTAGTAACACTTTAAGCCAGCCGGGGGATCTGCTTTTTTTATTTTAATAAACGACTTTACTACCACTTTATTTGTCACTGATTTAAAGCTGAACACCAGCCTAACCATTCTTGCACAGCTGTACTGAAACTGCTTAGATTCACAGTATGCATTAGAAGCTGCAGTATGTCAGATGGAGCCCATCTCATTTACTAGCTGGAGGACACTCAGCATCATTTAGCACTTTCCTCCCCAGCCTGCCTGTTTCAAACATGGTGGCTCAGCATCACATGTAGGAGTTACCACTGCTTCCTGTTTTCAGGTGGCCCACAGCCATGATCTGCCTATGCTACATAGAGAAGCAAAGAGAGCTACTGATAATATCACTGGTTCTAAAATAAGATATGCAATGGAAACAGAAAGATTTAATTTAATAATTTATTTAACATTTTTATGAGGGGGGAGGTAAAATATGGATTCAACTTCCCTTAAAACTACATGTCCATGTAGTAGTCTAAGATGTGAGAATTCACCACGGAATTAACAGCTGTGTCATCTTGCAGGATCAACAGGTAATAGAATTATACATATGGGGAGAGTCAGAAAAACAAAAACTGCCATATTAATGCCAGTGACAGACTGCATCATACCATACATGATGAAATGCATGCATCCACTAATTGTGATCTCATTCACGGGTCGAAATCTGTAGAAAATGAAAATATTAATTTTGGGCGGCTTGACACTTTACCTGAACTCTGGTCACAGTGCCCCAAATATGGCAGGCAGAGGGCAAAGGACTAGTCATAAGTAGTCTGCGGTCTCCCTGCGACTAATCTACTAACTTACCATGCCTTGTTCTGCATTGTGTCTCTGTATGGAGGTGCCTAGGTAGAGACAAGTCTTTGTTTCCTCATGCCTCCAGCAAGGAGAACAGTGAGCAGTGACAATGAATTTGACACCAAATCTCCTGAGACTAGCAGTCAGAGGCTGCAGTTCCTTAGATCTCACACTGCAGATATTCAGCTATGAGGCTGTAAAATACAGGAGTGCCTAGGCACACTCACATACTAGGAAGTACACTGCTATATTTTAGCATGAATTCCAGACCAAGGATAGTTGTTTTTTAGGGTACTGCTTAGGCACAATTAACATTTCTTACGCAACGCTATAACAAAGAAAATCTTCACTTCTTGAGTTCAGTTTTACTTTAATCTCCCTGGCGGTCTGATTATGTCCATATTTCTGTGCTCAAAGCGGTACATTTTTTTGTATGGATATATGTATTTTTTTTATTGTAGGCTGTAATTTTTAGCAATAACTCACTGAAATCTGTCCGAACAAGAGTCTAGTAAACATCCCGGGTATGATAAAATTTGAAACACAAAATCATACATTATAATTTAGTAAATAATCATAAAAAATAATAATATAATAATATTTTTAATTCAATAATATAATCAAACCAAAAAACACTGAAATTTGAAATATAGCGCCAAGTTCGCACATCACTGAGCAAAGTCGCAGAATCGTTTTCAGTGTCTGATGATGAATTTCCCCCACGAATCATTATCACTCAATTCTGCAAGTGGTTCTGATTTACTATCGCTGTTCTCTAGTCGGTCTAAAACCGCTTTTGACCTAAAGGGACGCTTTTTGGACCCCATGGACGTTTCTCAGTTTCCAGGCAGAAAGAACAGTAAAAATGCAGGCAGGGCGCCGGACAAAGCCCTCGGGACAAAATGTATGTGAAATGGTTTGATACGGGAATGTTATACTATGTGATTTTAGTGTATTTAGTGAATGTCACTTTTTGTCATTTTCAAATTTCCTGCCGATTCCATCCCCCGTACATCCCGACGTCGCAGGGAACGGAACCCAGATGACAGATGCCGGCATCGGCGGAGGACATTGCCGGGGACACTGCAGGAGGGACATCGCGGGAGCGCAGGACAAGGTAAGTGATCGAGGGATCCCGGAGCAGCGCCGCACGGTATTCCCGAGTGTAGCTCAGGGTTACCGCTTCTGGTACTGAAACTTTACCCCGAGCTACACTCGGGAATACCGCCAGGGGGCTTAAAGTCCAACTCCAGGAACTGAACAAAATGTATTCTCCCACAGTGCGTGGAATAAATGCTTGTTTGGTCTAAGACAGGGATGTCCAAACTATGGCCCTTCAGCTGTTGAAGTACTACAAGTCCCATCATGCCTCTGGGTGTCTTGCCTGTGGATGTCAGAGTCTTGCAAGGCCAAATGGGACTTGCAGTTCCTCAACACCTGGAGTGCCATAGTTTGGACACCCCTGGTCTAAGAGGAGCGGAGGAGTCTCTTACTTACATTTCCCCGCTCTGTCCAGCGCTGTCCTCTTCTCCATCTGGTGCTCCAGGCTGTGGACAATCTCTCGGAGTCTTCTTGTAGCACTACCCTAGTAAGGGCCGCTGGATTTGATTTGGGTCCCCTATGCTCTGCATGGCCAGGCAACATTTTCACAATTTTCACAGTGGAGTCAGTAAACAGCCCTTGAGCTTGGTTTTGTGATTTTATTAAGGGTTAAACTTGAATGGGGTCTAGGGGTATATGGGATGCCCAAGGAACTGTAGAATTTGAGGACAAGTCTTTAGCAACTATGTTCAAAGATTTGGTTAGCAACAGTCTCTTCTTAAGGAACACTAAAGGCTCTTAAGTGTACCTCTTAAGACCCCGGATGATTCCTTCTCTTCACCCAGCTGCCTGAGAGTATCCCTGGGCAAAGGGGGACAACAGCTGTTAGTTTAGAACAGTCCCTGAGGAGAAGCTAGTTGGGTCTTGCACCTGACCGCCCTCTCCCCTTATCTGGCCCAGGGGGTGTAGGAGTACTCACATTGTCCTCTCCTGCTAGCTTAGTAGGTTGGTGGCTGCCTTCAGGCCTTATGCTGGGCTGGCTCCTTCCCTGCTACACAGGCTCTCCTCCCTCAGAGACGTTGAGGTAGTGGATATCCTCTACCAGCGCCCTACCTTTCCAGCACCCCTCCCAGGCTCCACACTCCAGCCGTCCTCAATCCATCTTCCACAAAACACTGCACACCTCCCTCAAGGCTCTGCCACATTTGAGGGTTGCCCTGGTCACCATGCCCAGCCTCCTGCCAGGGGATCGGTCAAGGTCCCTCAAACATACAGATCTGGGCCTCCTCCCCTCCTCTACTAGAAAGCTCTCAGGTTTCTGGAAAGGTGGGAGGGCCCCAGAAGGCCTGACCTGTTATAGCCTCCCAACCTTTCCTGAGGTAACCTCACTACCTCACTCCCACATCCCAGGCAGCTACTCAACCTCTAACTAACCTGGAGGGCATTATATCCACGTACAATGCAGGGCTAATAAACCTAGATTGTATGTGGAGTGCAACCACGGCCAGGAGCGTCCTAGAGAAGAGGCTTCAAAAGACTGGTCACACAGCTGGAGGGAGCCTGATAGAGCGAGACATAAGATAAGTATTGATTAATGCACCTCTAGACTTAAAGAGCAGTTAACCCATGCAGTGTGTGTGTAGGGGGCTATTCAAGGGTAGATTCTGTCTAATTCTTGGTGTTGGGCTTTAAAATGTTAATCAAACCCTTAAACAAGCTCACTGAAGTGAATAGCCTCAGGGGATACACAGTTATGAAGTGAATCCTCCTACATTAGTTGTACCTGTTTTTCTGTAGCCCTCTCTCCTCTTTCTTTCAAAGTACAGAAATCAGATGGTATTTCTCAATTTACATGAAGCAGGGGGCAGGGATCTGTCTTACACTACACAGCACAGAGCTGAGTGTAATCTGAGACACAAGTGAATGGAATAGACACACCCTCCCTCTATACAGTCTCATTGGGGAAAAATGCACATCTGAGGCTGTCCTCCACCTGTTGTGTGCTGGGGGAACAGGGGGAGGGGGTCTGGGTTGACATAAAGATTGCAGGAGAAGGAGGGAGCAGACAAGATCCACATTAGGTGCTATGGACTGAGACAAGTACACTTTATATAAGGATATGCTTTGTTCATTTTTCATTTTAGAGGTTTACAACCACGTTAAATATTTCAGTTAATCAGCAACATTCCCTGTAAAGTACTCCAAAACATTAGCAACTATCAGAACGCAATCCCATGTTCTGCCAACTTCTCACGGCACGCATTCCACCTACTCCAACGTCTCTTTGGTAAGCAGACAACACATCCTTACAAAAGCCTAGACAATAAGCCTGAGAGCCGCCAACGTAGATTGTATATTTGACAACGCAGGCCATTCTTAATTAACACACACGCTACATCAGCGCTCAAACCAGACAGCTTGTCTCAAGGATTGTTAACCGCGCCGTTAGAACTTTATGTATTGGTCGAAAATGTACTCTATTAAGTATGAAAACCTCCAGCCGCCTGTATAAAATATGGTGATAAAATATCTTTCTATTGATCTGTCAGGTCAGATTGATGAAGGCCCCTCGATGACTATTTACCCTGCATGGCCGGTAGCAACTTTTCAAGATTTTTCAGCCTCGTACAAAGCTCATAATTTGGTATGGAAATCGATATATTCGCTTATTTCTCTGTCACAATCTGAAAAAAGTCATTTTTATTCAGGCGCGGCCTATGGGCATGGTGGGGAAAAGTTAATACAAAAGCATTAATCTTCCCGGTTTAATATAATCAGCACATATTCTGTGCACATCTTAAAAGTGTCTGATTCTGTGATGTCTTATTAGAGGAATTTAGTATTTGGATAAAAATTGATCCTGAGTGCAGAGAGCGTTATTACAGAACATTGTACGCATTCTTGTTTACCAACTGATAAAAATCATACGAAAGACTTGTTTATGAAGGTTTTTTTGAAGAGCGTTCAGCAAGCTTGGTTAGGTAACGAAACAAAAAGAAGGTAATCTGCTCTAAAAAAAGTAAACAATAAATGTTGAAGCCATGTTTAAAGGTAATCTCCACCTCCAAAAATTTTGGGTGGATACCCACCACCAGCCAGTTTCTCATGACTTTTGAGGGCCTAGACTGGCAAGATCTATTGCAATATTTTGCATTTCCTGAACTAATGCAATTGCACCCTACATGTAGTCAGATGGCTTGGTGGAGTCTTGGAGGCCTCCAACCCCATGTCCACATTTTGCCAGCAACCAGTGTTCTCATTGTACAGGTGTGTAGGGAACTTTTAGTATCGGGGCTGATGATGATTCAGGGCTCAATCCTCCCAAAGAAACCACTGTGCTGCCACGGAGCATCAGGTGCATTGACAGGCCAGGAGTGTGCGTTTGTCAGTACTGACTGGGCATTTGCCTAGGAGATACAGTTACCACCGGACCAGCATTTGAGCCTGTTGGGTAGGTGCAGGTTGGTGTGGCGTCAGAAAGCACACAAAGTCCCAGTTTGCCAACAAAGATGCATTGCAGAGCTTGTCACACACTACAAACAGGCCTGTCGATGGAAGCTCACCCAACTAGGGCACTTACAAAAGTTCAGAGAAGAGTCAGCGGTATGTGGATTTGAGCGGCAGACAGCGTCTGTCATAAGGCCTGGCTGGTTCAACTCAAAGGGGAGCTTCCTGAGGAGGCAGCCGTAGGCCCTACTTTTTCCCTACTCCACTGGAACCTATACCTACCGCTAGTACTGTCCATGACAGATGGGTATCCTGTTGCTACACTAGCCACTCACATAAAACATGCCAAAACCCGGAGGCAGGGACTTAAAGATGGCCACCAGGGTCACCTGGATCCAGGACATCCAACCTGATCACTGCTCTAGGGGACCGAGGAAACCATAGATACACCCAGTTTCTTCCAATTTTGGCCCCCAGTTGCACTGCCGATACGATCGAGCTCCACCTGCAGTCAAGAAGGTAGACTGCATACAAGCTGGACGAAAACTACTGTAACCCAAGTGGGGCTGCTTTATAGCCTGTTGACTGTAGGCATGTGGACTGCCTCTTGGCTAAAAAAAAAGATATATTTACATTTTTACTAGCCCTCACTATAATCAAACCACTATGCTGTCCTTCTAACAGTTAGCTAACAATACTGATAAAAGCAGCATTGTGTTCCATTCCAAAACTGAATTTACTTCTGTAAAACTGCAATACAATCACATAAACTGAAATTACAATATGTTTGTACACGTTTCTCACAAATGCATACAATGAATACATTTATTGTAAACAGCTACCTGTAAATCACAATGAATACATTTAAATGCAGTTTAGCTATGTATGTGACTTTAACAAACACAATGGAAGAACTTACAGTGTATCAAAGGGAGAATAGAGGAAACCTTTACTGGCATTCTTCTAGAAGCTAAATGGCTGCAGTGGTTTATGGGAAATCTTTACTTTAATGAACACTTCCTGTTCTTTTTTGAAGAGGAATAATAAAAACAGGTGCAGTTTCAGTGAACACCCAATAGATGGCTCCCTACTCAACACAATGATAATATTCAATACACAGAACAACTACTATTTATTCCTTTAAAGCAAATAACATCATCAATGTGTGTTAATCATTCAAGCATCAGGTTCAGTGTGTAATTATATATTCATATGAGGGCAGCCATGTTTGCTCATCATCAGGCTCTTCTTCTTGCTTAGCAGTGCTGCACTGTGGTTTTGCCTTGCTGCTTCAAGTCAGCGTCTGACTAATAGTACACAATAGACCTTCTGTAGTCCCTAAAGACGTGAAACAAGCACAATGGTCCTGGTAGTCAGAGATCAAGTCTGAAGATAGCAGCTCCCTGAAAAGCAAACAGTTTACACCTAGGGGACCTCTGGTGTATATGACATAAATGCGCATTTATATTGCGCCTCTGGTGAGTGTGCAATTTACTCATTATTACTGCATGGCACCGGACCATAGCTTTCACTGGGATTTAATCAAGTCACCTCTTTTTCAGTTTATCCGTGGTTTCATCACCATCAGATATAATTTTTGGACTATTATTTGCACTGTGTATCACACAACTAGTGAATGTGTCTGGTATAATTGAACCACTGCACTGTTGTTAAGGACATTATTTATACACTGTGTTGTCAATAATACTGGTGATTTCAGGCATTTCTGTACCACTATATATATAAAATTATA